CACCGTCGTCTCCGTATTCATCGTCCGACTCTGGCTCTGCTTCGTATTCGATGTCTCTCTGCGAGGTAGGCGTGCCTCCTCTCGTGGTTCCCTTCTCGGCGATCGCGTCCGTGTCACGGTAGGCTTCCCGCCATGTGTAGGTCGGCGAACTGCACTCTGATGGCCTCCGTCAGCTCCTTGGGGTCGTAGTCGTTACCACAACTCGGGAGCAGCTGAGATCGCTGAGCTATGGTCAAACCACTCAGTTTCAACAGGAAGTAGGCCTCGATGTTGTCACTCAGCTGCGTCATCCTGTCGGCTCCCAGCAGCTGCTGTCTGATCTCGCTTCTCTTCGTCAGCCACGAACCCACTGCTTCAGCGTTGTGTCGGCTAGAGCTGTCGAAGTATCTGTCGAAAGGCTCGCCAACGCGGCTCCGACCGATACCCTGGATGGCAGCCTTGAGCGCCATCGCGATCGCTTATATCTTTGAGTCCGTGCCCAAGTCCAGATTGTCTATGCTGGCGGCCTTGACCGCAGTGTAGGCTTCGCCTCGCGAAGCGTTGTAGAACCTCGGGCATAGCGGCCCCGTCTTCTTGACCGCGTCCTCCGTCGTGCCGACCCGCAACGTGTCGACTCTGTCCAGGTACTCCTCCAACAACTCCGGCGCGCCGTCGTGCAGTGGGATTCCCTGCTCGAAGGACGGCGTCGGCGGCACGACGAGAGCGACGAAAACGAGGGAGCCGATCGTCAGCGTCGTTGGGAGCAACGCGCTGAAAGCGGTGCCGTGGACCGCCGCTCCGCACACACCAATGTAAAATACACTCTTCTGCACCAGCGCCGTGGTGACAGTCGCCCCCGCCACACATCGCCACCGATGGATGAGATGAATGCCTCCCGATCTTTGCTCGATCATGCGAGGCGGTCGTACAGTAGCAGTGCTCAAAGGGGCTCCTGTAGGCATACAGAGAGCAGCGGCACGTTTGCATCAATGCTAGCACAGAGCGACAACGAGCGTGAGAGGGCCTTGCGTCCTTAGACACGGATGTTAGTTCACACTGGGTGAGCGTTCTGTCAATGCCCGGTCATCTGAAGATTTGTGCGGACCCCACTTGATCCCACTTGGGAGGCGCAGAATCGGCTACACGCAAGAGTGGCCCTAGGCAAGAGTGCCCTTTGATTCGCGGCCTAAGGGGAGGGCCTTCTCGGGACACCAGCAGGCGGGCAGGCCGCCGCCACCACACCGCTCTCGGCGATCAGAAGGCTCCTTGCTGGGCCACCCCTCACGAAGCCCAGGGGGCTCCACAATGTAGCGAAAAGCTGGGGGCACCTTGGGCCAAGGGCACCTTTCGGCGACACACCAGAGTGACAGTGGGCAGGAGTGAACTTTTGGTGCGCGACTCTAGGGGTGCGCGGGGGAGCCATATCCGAGCGCGCAAGCCGCTGCCGTGGCATCGCATTCAGCCATCTGGAGACCCCAGTGTGCCCGCACCAGAGGTCGCTCCGGCGAAAGGTCACTCTTACGTGTAGTCGACCCTTTAGAAAAGAGTAAGAAGAAGAAGAAGAAGAAAAAATAGTAAACAATAAAAAACGCCAGAGACACAAACTGTTGGCGCTCCGCGCGGACTTCTTTCATCTGCGCTGGGCCCCCCTGCCTGGCGCGCGGAGCGCGCCAGGGGCGGCGCCACAGGCGCCGCCAGGGGGGGCCCAGCGCACATCCAAGAGACCCATGTCTGCGGCGCCGGTGTCCTCTCGCTGTGGCGTTTGTGCCCTCTTCGAGTCTCCAGCAGCCCCCCAGCAGGAGCACACGCCGCCCGAGGCCTGGGCCGGCGCTCCCGCGCCGCTGCCCGCGGCCCCGCCCTCCGTGGCTGGCGGCGGCTGGCCGGGCTCGCCCTCCGCGCCCGCCGGCCGCAGCAGGTGCGGCTGCGCCCGGGCGCGGTACCTCTGCTGGGGGTTTGTGTTGGACGTGCGCAGTCGACGACTCTGCGGAGGTGGCTGCTCGCAGACTGCCTGGAGCCGCTGCGGGGGATCTGCGCTGCAGGCCATCGAGGTGGGCGGGCATGCTTCCTGTCGTTCTGGCGCATGCGAGCAGGAGCCTGCGGGCAGTGGAGCGCGCTCGGCGATTTTCTCGGGGGGAGGAGATGAGGAAGCCAGACACCCCAGCGAGGACAGCCTCCGCAAGCGAGCGCACTAGAAATGGGTGTGCGGCAGGCGGGCTGGTAGGGGCGGAGACGCGGGCAGTTCTATAAAAGTGCGGTACCTCTGCTGGAAGTGGTGGAGGTTCGGGGGCGTCCAGGAGGCCCGGCGGCACGCCCAAAGTGGGCGGGGGGAGGGGCAGGGCTTCTTGCGAGGAAGCCCTGCATGTGCAGACGAAGCCCGCGGCGCTTCTGAGAAGCAGGGGTGCTTCTGAGATGCCTTCCCCCTCGCCCCACCCCCCTCTGCGCGTGGCTGAGGAGGGTGGCGTGGGCAAAGGCCTCCCATATGAGCGACACAGAAGAGCGGGTCTTTCGCACGCTGGGGCCCACACCTTTTAGAGGTTTCGGCGGGCGTCCAGAAGGGGGGGCGTGGGCAGGAAGTCCCAGATGGGGTTCGAGCAAAGGCGAGGCGGGGACTCATCCGTACACGCCGCCTGGGGAACCGACGTTGTGGGGCCCCAGGGGGGTTTGGGGTAATGTAGATGCTCTCTGCCCCCGTGGGGCCCAACTTACCCGTACCTATACGACCACCCTTCGGGTGGGGGAGGAACCAACGTCTCACTCGATCGGTCTCACTATCGATCTCACTATCGATCTCACTATCGGTCTCGCTCGATCGATCTCACTCGATCGATCTCACAATCGATCTCACTCGTTCTGTTTCATTCGATCGATCTCACAATCGATCTGACTATTGATCTCGCAATCGAGTCCACTATCGATCCCACTATCGATCTCACAATCGATCTCACATTCGGTGTCACTATCGATCTCACTATCGATATCACAATCGATCTCACAATCAACGCCATCATCAACATCATCAACATCATCGTCGTCAACGTCATCAACGTCATCATCATCATCATCATCATCATCATCATCATCATCATCATCATCATAATCATCATCATTATCATCATCACCATCATCATCATCATCACCGGGACACCATCATCATGGTCACCATCATCATCACCATCATCACATCATCACCATCATCAACATCACCTTCTTCATCATCATCATCATCATCACCATCATCATGATCATCATCATCATCAGCATCATCATCATCGGGACACCATCACCGTCACCATCATCAACATAATCATCATCGGAACACCATCCTCATCTTCATCGGAACCCACCATCCTCACCATCAGCATCATCTCATCATCATCATCATCATCATCATCATCATTATGAACAACATCATCAACATCATCATCATCGGGACACCATCAGCATTATCAGCAACATCCTCATCATCAAAATCATCATCGGGACACTATCATCATGGTCACCATCATCATCACCATCATCATCGGGACACCATCATCATCATCAACATCAGCATCATCATCATCACGATCATCGGGCCACCATCATCAAAATCAGCATCACCTCATCATCATCCTCATCATCAACATCATCATTATCGAGACACCATCCCCATCACCATCATCATCCGCATCATCATCAGCGGGACACCACCATCATCATCACCATCATCATCAACAGCATCATCATCAACCTCATCATCATCATCATCATCGGGACACCATCATCACCATCATCATCTTCATCATCACCATCATCCCATCATCACCTCATCGTCATCAACATCATCAGGATCCCTAACCTCATCATCATCATCATCATCATCGGGACACCATCATCATCATCAGCAGCAGCAACATCATCATCAACATCATCATAGGGACACCATCATCCTTACCACCATCACCATCCTCATCATCATCATCATCAACATCGTCAATAATTATCATCATCATCATAATAAGCATCATCATCATCATCATCATCATCATCATCATCATCATCATCATCATCATCATCGGGACACCATCATCACCACCATCACCATCATCATCATCGTCATCATCATCAACAACATCATCGACATCATCATCATCATCGTCATCATCATCATCATCATAATCATCATCCTCATCGGGACACCGACGGGACACCGGCGGGACACCGGCGGGACACCGCGCGCCACCGGCCCCCGGTCAGGAATCATTTGGTCCGGCCGCGCCTCAGCCGGAGGCGGGACACCGGCGGGACACCGCGCGCCACCGGCCCCCGGTCAGGAATCATTTGGTCCGGCCGCGCCTCAGCCGGAGGCGGGACACTGGCGGGACACCGCGCGCCACCGGCCCCCGGTCAGGAATCATTTGGTCCGGCCGCGCCTCAGCCGGAGGAGACTTTCTTCTCGCCCGCCCACGCAGCTTCGCTCGCCCGCACGCACGGCACGCACGAACCCGAAACCGAAACCGATTTCCCCGTAGAGGGGCTCTCCGTTCCACTTCGATCTCACCCCCCCACCTCCGATCCACCGCCCCCCGAGGTCCAGGAAGACCGGTGTCTCCCTGGCGGTGGGTGTGGAGGCCTCCCAGATGGGTTCCGAGCTGATGGGGTCGGAGGATCGCGTCATATCGCGTCGTACCGTCGATGCATCACCGATGCCGATGCGATGAATCGGCGGTGCAACGGCGACGTCGGCGATGCATCGGCGCCGTCGGCGTAGAGAACATCGGGCTCCACATCGAGCCGCATCGCCGATGCAGCGGCGATGCGGCGCGACCCTCCGACCCGACCCCATCCGCTCGGATCCCATCTGGGAGGCCCAGGGTGGAGGAGGGGCGGGGGGTCGCAAGTCATGGCCCGAGGCACGTGGGCGGCCCAACGGTGGCCATGGGGCGTGCTGAAACAAGAATATTGGCCGTGATGTCCGGGGACGTATCATGGCCCAGGCCATGATAGCCATCCCCGTGCGTAGACATCATCCCCCTCCTGGCCGCCCCCGAGAAGTGCTTGAGGAGCATCGCCTCCGCCGCCCCTGGGCCGAAGCCGATCCGGTCGTCGGGGCGCTCCATGACGTGGAAAAGGTCGGTCCTGCGCTCGAAAAAGCTCAGGATGCTGAAGTTGATGTCCTCCACTTGGAGGCGGCCACGGGGTCTGAGCTGGATGGGCTCCAAGACATCGGTCCAGCGGGGAGGGGCAAGGGCAACGGCAAATCCGCCCACAAAAAGCCACCTCCTGGGTCCAATTGGTGCCGTTTTGCACCCTGGGTCCAGTTTTACCTTCCACGGGGCCCGAAAAAGGCCCCCGGAGACTGAAAGATCCAAAAGCCGTCTCGAACCCGCCCCGTCTTGCTGGCGGGCACCAATAACCACCTCGCCGACGTCCGTGGTCGTTGTTGTCGTCGCCGTCACCGCCGTCGTCGTCGCCGTCGTCGTCGTCGTCGTCGTATCGGCCGTCGTCGTCGTCGTAGCAATCGTCGTCGTCGTCGTCGTCGACGTCGTCGTCGCCGTCGTCGTCGTCATCGCCATCGCCGCCCTCGTCGTCATTGTCGACGTCTTCTTCGTCGTCGTCGTTGCCGTCGTCGTTGCCGCCCTCGTCGTCGTCGTCGTCGTCCTCGCTGTCGTCGTCGTCGTCGCAGCTGTCGTTGTCGTCGATGTCGCTGCCGCCGCCACCGTCGTCGCCGTCGTCGTCGTCGCCATCGTCGTCGTCGTCGCCGCGTCTTCGCTGCGTCCGGCGTCCGTCGTCGTCGGAGTCGTCGTCGTCGCCGTCGTCGCCGTCGCCGTTGTCGTCGACGTCGTTCCCGCCAACTCCGTCGTCGCCGTCGTCGTCGTCGTTGCCGTTGTCTTCGTCGCAGCCGTCATTGTCGTCGTCGCCGTCGTCGTCGTCGCCGTTGCCGTCGTCCTCGTCGTCGTCGCAACCGTCGTCGCAACCGTCGTCGCCGTCGTCGTCGTCTTCTTCGTCGTCGTCGCCGGCGTCGTCGCCGCCGTCGTCGTCGTCACCGTCGTCGTCGTCGCCGTCGTCATCGTCGACGTCGTTGCCGCACCCGTCGTCGACATCGCCGTCGTGGTCGTCGTCGTCGCCACCGTCGTCGTCGTCGTCGTCGTCGCCTTCGTCGTCACCGTCGTCGTACGCTCTGTCGTCGTCGTCGTCGTGGCCGTCGTCGTCGTCGTCAACGTCGTCGTCGTCGTCGCCACCGCCGTCGTCGTCGTCGTCGTCGTCGTCGTCGCTGTCAACGTCGTCGTCGCAATCGTCGCCGTCAGTGCTGTCGTCGCCGTCGTCACTGCCGTCGTCATCGTCGCAGTCGCCGCCGCCGTCGTCGCCGTCGTCGTCGTCGTCGCCCCTCGTCGTCGTCGTCGTCGCTGCGTCGTCGTCGCGTGCGCCGTCGCCGCCGCCGTCGTCGTCGTCGTCGTCGTCTTCGTCGTCGTGGTCGCCGCAGCCGTCGTGGTCGTCAGCGTCATTGCCGCCACCACCGTCGTCGTCGTCACCGCAATCATCGTCGTCGTCGCCGCCGTCGTCGTCGTCGTCCTCGTCGTCGATGCAGCCGTCGTCGTCGCGGTCGTCGTCATCATCGTCGTCCTCGTCGTCGTCACCGTCGCCGTCGTCGTCGTCGTCGTCGAAGCCGTCGTCGTCATCGTCGAGGCCGCCGTCGTCGTCGTCGTCGTCGTCTTCGTCGTCGCCGTAGTCGCCGTCGTCGTCGTCGGCGTTGCCGCTGCCGTCGTCGTCGTCATCGCCGTCGTCGTCATCGCCGTCGCCACCGTCGTCGTCAACGTCGTCGTCGTCGTCGCCACCGTCGTCGTCGTCATCGTCGTCATCGTCGTCGCCACCGTCGTCGTTGCCGCTGCCGGTCGTTGTCATCGCCGTCGTCATCATCACCGTCGTCGTCGTCGATGTCGTCGTCGTCGCAAACGTTGTCCCCGCCGCCTCCGCCCTTGTCGTCATCGTCGGAGTCGTCGCCGTCGCCGTCGTCGTCGTCGTCGTCGTCGTCGTCCTCGTCGTCGCCGTCGTCGTCGCTTCCGTCGTCGTCGCCTCTCGTCGTCGTCACCGTCGTCGTCGCCGTCACCGTCGTCGTCGTCGTCGTCGTCATCGTCGTCGTCGCTGCATCGTCGTCGTCGTCGTTACCGCCGGCGCCGTCGTCGCTGCCACCGTTGTCGTCGCCGTCATCGTCGTCGCCGTCGTCGTCGCCGCCGTCGTCGTCGGCGTCGTCGCCGCCGTCGCCGTCGCCGTCGTCATCGCCGTGGCCGTCGTGGTCGTCGAAGCCGTCGTCGTCGCCTTCGTCGTCGTCGTCGTACCCGCCGTCGTCGTCGTCGTCGTCGTCATCCGTCGTCGTCGCCATCGTTGTAGTAGCCGCCGCTGTCGTCGTCGTCGCCGTCAACATCGTCGTCGCCGCCGCCGTCGCCGTCGTCGTCGTCGTCGTCGTCGCCGCGTCGTCGTCGTCGCCGTCGTCGTCGTCGACGTCATTGTCACCATCGTCGTCGCCGTCGCCGTCGTCGTCGTCGTCGTCCTCGTCGTCGTCGCTGCCGCCGTTGTCATCGCCGCCGTCGTCGCCGCCGCCGTCGTCGCCGCCGTCGTCGTCGTGGCCGTCGTCGTTGCCGCCGTCGTTGTCGCCGTCGCCGTCGTCGTCGTCGCCGCCGCCGTCGCCGTCGTCGTCGTCGTCGTCGTCGCCGCGTCGTCGTCGTCGTCGCCGTCGTCGTCGTCGACGTCATCGTCACCATCGTCGTCGCCGTCGCCGTCGTCGTCGTCGTCGTCCTCGTTGTCGTCGCTGCCGCCGTTGTCATCGCCGCCGTCGTCGTCGCCGCCGTCGTCGCCGCCGTCGTCGTCGTCGTCGTCGTGGCCGTCGTCGTTGCCGCCGTCGTTGTCGCCGTCGCCGTCGTCGTCGTCGTCGCCGCCGTCGTCGTCGTCGTCAGCTGGCTCGGATCCTCCACGGTCTTGTGTTGCCTCGCCAGGTTCAGCAGCAGGTCGTCAAAGCGGCCATCTGCCATGGCACACACCCCCGGGTGCGGAGGCTCCGCCGCCCACGCCAGAAGGCCGAGCTCTTCGCGGGCGCGGGCGGCGGCGGCAGCGGCAGCGGCGCCCGCCCCGCGTGCGCGGGCCGGGCGCGCCTCGAGGCAACAGCGGCTGGGAGGAGGAGGTCTTGCTGTCGATTCGGTCCTTGCCCTCCCCTCCTCAATGCTGGCGGTCGGCACCGCTACTCTGCTGCGCCTTCCTGGGTACGTCGCTGCTCCTGTGCTACTTGCCATTTCCATACCGCATGGGCCTGCCGCCCAATTCACTACGTTCCCACTGCGCCTGAGTCGTTTGTCTAACGCCCGAGGTACGCTACAGGCTGTGCACCTAGAGTCCGCACGACCAAAAGAAGAAGAGGAGTAGGAGGACGAGTGTGAACCCAAGACTCATAAACGATGTTTGGATCACTCTCCCCCAAAACTCCGTATTCGTGGGCCCCATACAAGGATTCACTTCCGCTGAGGGGAGTGCCCCGTTTGGAGACAAACGTGTGGAAATTCGTAAACATGCCCAAACACAATTTTTTGGACTTCAACGCCACGAGCCAACCTGACTGTTGCGTCTTGGCGATCCTGACCTGAACCGTGCCAGAACACCATTCCCAGGACTTCAAACCCGCGAGTCAACGACTGTTGCGCCCTGACAACCCTAAGTCCTTGGGAAGCACATTCCTGGGAATGTTAACCATGAGAATCCACGCGGCAGCTGCAATGTGTTAAAACGTATGCGCGCGGCGCTAAAAAGGCAACCACATTTTGAAAACCGCCCTCAATCCGCAAAACTCTTGCAACTTTCGAAACGAGTGCGCGCGGCGCTAAACCGACAACTACATTTTGAATACCACCCGCCCTCAAACAGATAGGCTCTTGCAACTGTTTGAAACAAACGTGCGCGGTGCTACGACTAGAACTAGATTCAAAAAAAACGGCCCTCCCTCAATCCGTGAACCTCTTGTAAATACGTAAAGCGAATGTGCGCGGCGCTAAAGCGACAACCACATGTTGAAAACCACCCGCACTCAATCCGTGAAACTCTTGCGCGTGTCTTCAGAGAATGTGCGCGGCGACACAGCGAGAGCCACATTTTTCAAAACCACCCGCCCTAAATCCGTGAAGTTCTTGCAAGTGTTTGGGACGAGTGTGCGCGGCGCTACGGCGAGATCTACATCTTGAGAACCACCCGCCCTCAAGCAGGGAAACTCTTGCAATGTTGTTGAAACGCATGTGCGCGGCGCTAAGGGAAAACCTGCCGCCCACACTCCGTGAAACTCTTGCCAATATATTCGGGCGCGCGCTCTGGCGAAAAATATATTTAAAAAACCACCCGCCCTCAATCCGTGAAGCTCTTGCAATTTTTTAAGACGAGTGTGCGTGACGCCAAAGCGAGAACCACAGTTTGAAAACGACCCGCGTCAAATCCGTGAAACCATTGCAAGTGTTTAGGACGAGTGTGCGAGGCGCTGAGGCGAGGGCTACATGTCGAAAACCACTCGCACTCGATCCGTGAAACTCTTGCGCGATTCTTAAAAGAATGCGCGCGACGCCACGGCGAGAGCCACATTTCGAAAACCACCCGCCCTAAATCCGTGATGTTTTTGCAAGTGTTTGGGACGAGTGTGCGCGGCGCTACGGCGAGATCTACATTTTGAGAACCACCCGCCCCCAAGCTGGGAAAATCTTGCAATGTTGTTGAAAAGCACGTGCGCGGCGCTAAGGCCGGAACCACATTCTGAAAAACTCCAGCCCACAATCTGTGAAACTCTTGCAAACGTTTTCGGACGAGCGCTGAGGCGAAAATTACATGTTCAAAACCACCCGCCCTCAATCCGTGAAGCTCTTGTACATGTTTAAGACGAGGTGTGCCCGACGCCAAAGCGAGAACCACATTTTGAAAACGAAACGCCCCCAATTCGTGAAACTCTTGGGACTCCAGGAAAAACGCCCCCCTCCTAACGAATTTGACCCAGCCCGGGCCTCTCGGGAGCACCCCACGAAAACCCGATGACGGCACCAGAGGGCTCCAGGCGCTCCAGCGCGCCCTCGAAAAGACCCCAGACAGCCTCAAAAAGCCGACACCCCCAAAGATCGCTCCAAAACGTCCCAAGAGGCCTCCGAGAGCACTTCCAAGAAGGCTCCAAGAGGCAAAATTCATTGATTTTCTGTAACTTTCGGTGAATTTGGGGGGTCATCCTTTTATCAGCTTCCCGACGCTCCAAGACGGCGGTCTTCTGGGCGTCCGAAGCCGCCTGGGCAGCTCGAATATTGCCCCACAACCATTCGAAAGGGCTTCCAGGCAGTCCTAAAGTGCCCCAAGACGGCACAACAGGGTTCCAAGATAGCCTACGAGAGTCCCATAACGGCCCAAGATTGCCCCAAGACACCCTCCGAAGCATTCCAAATCGCGACCCCACCGTTCAGGGAGACCAGGGGACGCGGATCGTCGAATCGTCGCACGCAGTGAATGGCGCGCATTATGCTCTTGCGCCGTCGAAATCCAAACTCCGTAAATTGAAGGCGCGGATCGATGGGTTCCCAAATTCGCTTCCGTTGGATTTCGGCATAGAGCTAACCGACGCTTTTGAACAGCGAGATCGGTCTGTAGTTGTCCAGTTTGCTGGTGTCTCCCCTTTCGAAGATAAGTGCGACGCGAGCCTGAGCTACGACGGGGGGCGCTACCTCGGAACGCCACCACTTGTTGAGCAATTGTACAAATTAGGACAGGTTGGCGTCGTCCAATTCTTCCAGGGCCTCCATTGGGATGTTCTCCGGCCCAGGAGCCTTGCGTCGCTTGCACCTTGCCAAGAACCACGCGCGCCTCGGCCAGGGCAAAACACCTCAGCATTGTAAGGCAGGAGCTATTGCGCCATTTTGGGGCGCGGCAGCGCCGAGCCAGGGGCGACATCTGCCGCGCCCCACTGCTTGTTGGCCAAATGCTTGGCGGCCTCTTCTGCCATCTGGCATGTTGGTGCATGTTTGCCGTGCAGTTTTGAAGCTGCACGGTTGAGTTAAGTAGCCATCTTGAGCTGAAGAATGCCTGACAGCGCGCCCTGGGTGTCCAGGTCGTTGTGCAAGGCCTTGATGATCTACTCCTGGCTGTCTCGTTGTTTGCTTCTTCGGAATTACCACGGCCCACACTGGGATATCGGAACGGCATTGGACCGATGATCTGTTCCAAAGAGCCGTTGGTTCCACTACCTTTGCGGAGAACGCTTTGGTCGAAGGCGTCACGGCACTCAGCGGTTCTCTTTTCGAGAAGCCTTTTGAGCTAGAGAGTCAGAGTGCAATCGCGTGTGCCAGTATGGATACAGCACGGGGCATTTCGCGGAGGCTGCGTCGTCGCGGCATCACCGCGAAGGTCTCCGAGCAGATCGTGCACCTCGGCGTGGACCGAGGGGCAGGCAGGCGCCTGGCCCGCGCGATCAGCACCAAGAGGATGGCGCAGACCCTGAAGCAGCATCGGACGATCAAGCGGTACGCGGCAGTCTCTCGGCGTCTCAAGATGCTGAAAAGGGCCGGGCTTGCGGGCCCTCGGGCTGGCGCGCGCTGCGGGCACGAGGTCCATGGCCCCCCCCCGAGAACAGTCTCATTGCCCTTCGCCGTCGGCTGGGGGCCATCGCAGGAGGCCGTCGGCACGGTCGGTGCCCGACAACTTTGTTCGATCTCCGTGGGCCTGGCACCGGCCCACGACATCACCGTCCTCGGCAGTGCCGAGCCCCGTGGCTCCGCGCGTGGACTCAGGAACAGCGAATTCGTGGCCCAGTCTGTCGAGCCTGGCCAGCGCTCGTGCATCAAATTCGTTCGCGCCATCCTAGTCATCGAGCGCGGAGCGTTCGGGGGCCACTTACAGCCAGCGATGTTGCAATACTTACTCACGGCGGGACGGGACCCGCAACCGCCGGTGCAGTGGTTCATGCCCACAGGCGAGGACGGCAGCCAGCACGGATGGGACTTCCCCAACGGCCCGGAGGGCACGGACGAAACCAACAAGATGCTCGACGCTTTCAGCCACGACCTACAGCTCCAACGGTCCAACGGTGTAAGATCGCCACTGAGGGCTGCTGTGGGGCACGCATGCAAGACGGCATTGACAATTGCAGTTTTGGGACATTTGATTATCAGTTGAAGCAGCTCCCGCAAGGCAGGCGCCTTGCCGAGCTGATGCTTGTGATCGCGGTGGTTGGCGCTTCGAAAGCCACCATACGCAAGGAGGCAGGGTACTCATATTGCGACCGGTGCCCGCGAGGATGGAGGAGATTCCCACGCACAGGTGCTGGACTTGTGCTTTCAACAATGGTGCTGTCTCCCCTGAGTCAGTCTGATAGTTCCACGGGTCCTGGCCCAGTCTGCTAGCGATGATTGCTTTAGGGGGCTCATTCCCGCGGCCTGGACGCGGATCGACCCCCCCTGCCAAGACGAAAGCTGGTCTTGCCACCCAGGAGCCGTGGAGCTAGGCCCAAGTTTTTCGGCATAGGCACGCTCGAACAACCCGCCGTTTTTCATGGAGATGCCTCGGGCGGCCCCAACGCGCGCGACCCTCGACTTCGTCGGATAGGGCAAGCCGCGGCGAACATTGCCCTTCTCCACGCCAGTGCAGATGTGCAATTTCTTTCCTGCCCGCTTACAGGCCCACGGCAGACTGTGGCCAGAGACAATATTTTCGCTCTTGAGATCGGCCTGCGTTGGACTGTAGGCCCGCTCATTTTCGCGACCGACAATGATGAGGTCTGTAGAGGTTGGTGGTGCCGCTCTTTGAGCAACCGACGGGTGCGAACGTCGACACCTGGCGTCGCATAGCAAAACAGCAAAAGACCTCACCGACAGATCCAGGGGCCCTGCAGAGATTTTAATCTTGACGGTTGCTTCTCATCTCGAACAAGACATTTCAGACAACGTCCCACGATGGATGGTCAATGGGAAAAAATTGTGGACGCCTTGACTGGAGTTGCAGCCAAGGCGGCGCGACTCCCAGCCGATCAGACATCGAATTGCTCTGGTCGATGCCGACGCTTGCAAACTCAGGCACCGTCTACTCAGACCCACACGTGAGGTGGCCGAGCTTGCCAGCGCTGAAAGGACAAAGCGAGCGCCTGCTGCTGCTGCTGCTCGTGCTCCTC